CCGCCTCACCTTTGGACCACCCCCGCCCATGAATTTAGAGCTTGCGAAGCTTCTTTTTGAAAGACTGGACTCGCTAAAATCCCTAACACGTCCGAAGGTTGGGGGGGGGGGTTTGGGGTTTTCGCGATTTCTAGGGCTCTAGGGTTTGGAGCTTAGGGATTGATTCAGGATTTAGGGTTTAGGGTTATGGTTTGGGGTTTGGGGTTTGGGGTTTGGGGTTTGGGGTTTGGGGTTTGGGGTTTGGGGTTTGGGGTTTTGGAGGTTTTCCGGCTTGTTGAGGGATGTCAGCCGAGGCGGGGAGCCGCTGAGTCCCCTGGCAGCCAGGGAGTTGAAACGCCTAAGCCCCTTAACCCCTAGAACCCTAGAACCCTAGAACGCTAGAACGCTAGAACCCTAAACCCTAAACCCTAATCCCTAAACCCTAAACACTAAACCCTAAACGCCTAAACACTAAACCCTAAACCCTAGACCCTAGACCCTAAACCCTAAAACCCTAACCCTAAACCCTAAACCACCCAACCCTCCAAACCTCTAAACCCCTAAAGGCCCAACACCCCAAACCCCCTACGCCTCGAAATGCGAAGCCCCAGCCGCCTGTGCTCCCACGCCCCCTGCCATCGTCTTTGGCTGGCTTTCGGGTTCCTCCGCGATTATGCGTGTGTGTTGAGGGTTTAGGGTTTAGGGTCTAGGGTCTAGGGTCTAGGGATTAGGGCTGTGCAGGTGTGGGTGTGTGTGGGTGTGTGTGGGTGTGTGGCTGTGTGTCTAAGCCCCCAAGATCCGGGATTTTTCAGGGCTTGTGTGCAGACTTTGTGGTTCGGCAGCGGGCCTCTACCTTCCGCTACACTTACTGGGGCCGGGAGGTCAACGCATTCGAGATAAGCCCTAAACCCTAGACCCTAACCCCTAATTAAGCCTTTTATTGTGTCGTCCTTCAGGGTCATCTTATATATTTATATATATATATATATGTATATCATGTATATACATATACATATATATATATATATGTATATATATATACATATATATGCATGCGGCTTTAAGATCTTAAAGGGCCAGCCGACTTCTGCAACTCTGGATGTCCCGTCACTCAGACCCTAAGTACGTACTCCACCCGCATACCATCAAGGCCACACCAGGCCCTAAACTCGAATTTCCCCAAGCCTTAAACCCTAAACCTTTAAGCCACCCAGTTTTTTCTGTTCTAACCTGAAATCTTAATGATACTCTAAACCCTGACCCTAAAACCCGATTACCCGAAGCCCTATAACGATCCCAATTACCCAGCCCCTACTCCCTAATCCCTAAACACTAAGCCCTAAATCCTAAACCTTTATACTCTACGTCGCCCCAAGGCGTTGAGGATGTTCGATGCTTTTCTTTTCAGCTCCTTCGCGCGCTGGCGCACTTGGCGGCCTCGTCCGCATGTCAGCTGCCGCTCTTGAACCCCCCTGCTTGGGAGGTTCGTGGGTGCTTATATGTGGGATTACAAGTAGGGTAGCTACAGCTAAAGCCTTCCTTCTGACGAAACGAACCCTAAAATTGGGGTCATACACCCTATACTACTATAATTACTATAGTTCCTATGAAGGCATATGAACCATAAACCCTTTGGGGCTTCATTTCGTCCCTAAGGTTGTGCAGGGTTCTTGCAACTTGCAACCCTACAAGTAAGGCTCCAAAGAGCTCGTCATCATGGGGTCTGCGGGCCCCAGAGAACCTGCTGTGGTGTAGGGTTTAGGGTTTAGGGTTTAGGGTTTAGGGTTTAGGGTTTAGGGTTTAGGGTTTAGGGTTTAGGGTTTAGGGTTTAGGGTTTAGGGTTTAGGGTTTAGGGTTAGGGTTTAGGGTTTAGGGCTTTAATGACCCCACCCTCCCATGCCCAGACTCTGTTTTGCGTCCGGCGGTTTTGAGGCTGGGAAAAAAGGGCAAGAGTGGTAACAAAATGTTCTGGGGTCTGGGGGTCAGCGTTTTTTTTTTTTGGTGGGGGGGGGGGGGGGGGGTCGATGAAGAGGGGGCCAACAAGAAAATTTTGGATTCCTGGCCAGCCGAATTTTGCAAGTGTCACCCCTGTCACCCCTTCTTTATTTTCACATTTTCACTGGAACCCCTTGCATAGATCTGTTTAGACATATGAAGTAGGGTTCATATTTCTGTTTTTGGTGAGTGTATATAAGGTTCCTTGTTCATATTGGTGAGTGTACATATTTGGTGTCCTTTTGGGGATACAAGAAATAAAAACACTACTTCATATGAGCCCGGAACCTTCTCCTAATGGACCGTCGTCTTGGACCGGGTCTCAGGGCCGGCCGAATGTTTTTTTTGCTTCCTACCCCCACCCCATTTATCAATGTGAGGCTAACATTAATGTAGAGTTTAGGGTTTAGGGTTTAGGGTGACGTGAGCCTCAGGCTAAGGCCTTTGGCTCCTAAACCCTAAACTCGAAGCCCTAAACCCTAAACCCTAAACCCTAAACCCTAAACCCTAAACCCTAAGCCCTAAGCCCTAAGCCCTAAACCCTAAACCCTAAACCCTAAACCCTAAACCCTAAACCCTAAACCCTAAGCCCTAAACCCTAAACCCTAAACCCTAAACCCTAAGCCCTAAACCCTAAACCCTAAACCCTGTCAATCCTGTCTATTGCGTCTCCCGCGCCGCGAAGGATGGGATGCAGATCGTGCACCGGGACCTGAAACCTGCTGCTTGGGCGCTGTAGCCATGAAGGGGCTTGTAGGGTTTAGGGTTTGGGGTTTAGGGTTTAGGGTTTAGGGTTTAGGATTTAGGGTTTAGGGTTTAGGATTTAGGGTTTAGGGTTTAGGGTTTAGGGTTTAGGGTTCAGGGTTTAGGGTGTAGGGCTTATAATTTTAACGCTACGCGACCCGCCTCGGCCCGGCCCAGCGCATCCGCGTGAGCATGGTGATTCCGCAGCGCCCAAGTCGCTGGACCCCAAGCAATAAGGGTTGGGTTTAGGGTTTAGGGTTCCGGGTTTATGGTTTGGGGTTTAGGGTTGAGGGTTAGTTTAGGATTGAGGGCTTAGGGCTCAAGGTTCACGCTTTGGGGTTTAGGGTTTTTTTGGGTTTAGGGTTCAAGAGACGGTTCGGCTTGGATTGATCGTAGGGGGGGGGTAGGAGTGCTTCGGGCTTCCTTTTGGGTGGGGAAAAGGGTGTGGGGGAGAGGGTGGGGGGGGGGATGGAAGGGGGTGGGGGGCGGAAAAGGGGGCCTGCTGGGAGGGGCTTCAACTGCCTCTGGTCCTTTGCGAACCGTCCGCTTGCGGACCCCGGTTTCCAGGAGGGTACCAATTTGAGGCAAAAAAGAGGGGGTTGGGGGAGGATTTGGGGGGGGGGTGCCTGTTCTGACAACCTATACACCTCCGGCCCGAGGCCTCGCCGGATTTAGGGTGTCGAGTTTTGGGTGTAAAGTTGGGGTGTTGTGCTGTTGGGCAAAGCAAATCCTAAACCCTAAAGCCAAAACCCAAAACCCTAAAGGCTTCATTGCTCAGGGTTTATAGGGTTTTGGGGATGCTCCGGTTCCCAGGACATTACGGGGAGGGGGGGGGGGGGTTGAGAAGGACCGCAAGCCCGAACCCCACAAAGAGTAGCCTGATGAACCCTTCAAAGTTTAGGGTTTAGGATTTAGAGTTTAGGGTGTAGGATGTAGGTTTAGGGTTTAGGTTTTGGGCGTAGGGGGTAGGGCAAGTTCCCGAACTGCTGAGCATACTTGAAGCCAAAGTAGATACACTCGCCAATATGCAGAAGGAAGCCTTCGCATCTTGAACTAGGAATGTTTCCTGCGCACTCTCGCAACGCAGTGTTTCCGATTTGTCAACAGAGTCCGAGTACTTTGCAGGAACCAGGCTGAAAACTGCAGGATACAGCCACATCTGGCCAAACACTGGCGTCGACCCTAAGCCCCTCACAGACGACAGCCAAGACTCCGGGCCCTAAACCCTCAACCCTAACATGCCCCACGCCATAGACCCTAAACCCTAGACCCCCCTATGACCCTAAAACCCTCTCAACCCCCTAAAACCCCAAAACCCTGAACCCCGCTAGAACCCCAAAACCCTCAACCCCCCAAAACCCTGAAGCCCGAAAACCCTTCAACAACAAGCGCAGCACCCTGAGGAGAACATCCTAAACCCTAAACCCCCCGAAACCCCAAAACCCCAAGACCCTGAAGCCCGGAAGCCCTAAAACCCTCAACAACCCTAGCCCTAAACCCTAAACCCTAAACCCTAAACCCTAAACCCTAAACCCTAAACCCTAAACCCTCAAGGAGAACATCCTGTTCGAGCCGAGCTCCCGCGCGATCCGGGTGGCCGACTTCGGCTCCGCCAAGGCTCGGGTTTTGGTTTGGGGCCCTCAACCCTAAACCCTAAACCCTAAACCCTAAACCCTAAACCCTAAACCCTAAACCCTAAAAACCTAAACCCTAAACTAACCCTAAACCCTATAAACCTAAGCCCTAAACCCTAAACCCTGCAAGCCCCTAAACCCCAAACGCAAGGGCAGTTCTCAAAATCAGGGGACCACCCCCCCCCCCCCCCCCCTCTAGTGATGAATCATTGTTGCGTTGCGGCCTCTAGCGGAAGCCTCGGTGGTGCTAGTGCTTGTGCAGGTTGGGGTTAAGGGTTAGTCTTGTGGGTCTGGGGATTGGGGTTATGGGTTTGTAGACCCTGTGGTCAGAGTTTGTGGGCCGTGGGCTTTAAGGATTGTGAGGTTTAGAGTTCTTGTGGACTTGAGTTTTAGGACTGCGTGCCGTAGCCGAGGCTCTTGAGGGGTTGTGGGTTTAGGGTTTGAGGGCGTGGGGGTGTCAAGTTCAAGTTTCGGGCCTTGATGCCTTCAGGGCTTCCCGCGAGAGCCTGCGCAAGGGGGCGGCTTACCACACGTGTAGGGTCTATCGGGTTCAGAAGTCGTTACGGGGTCTGCTTAAGGTTGTTTTGTTGGGGTTGGGTCTTGTCCACAGTCTTCTTGCGGTTCAGGGGGTCCACCCAGCCTCCCGCCATGCCGATGCCCACGCATTTCGAAGTGACCAAGACGCTGCTCGAAGCACAGATGGAGGCCGTGCGAATCTATGAGACCACTCTGGGGGCAGAGGCTGGACATCAGGTCGCCTTGCAGAAGGCGATGGTGACCGCGCAGCTGGCGGCTTTGCAGAAGCTGGAGGCTGCGAACGGGCCATCTGCTGCCAGAACCGCCAAGAGGGGAACCAGGAAGAAAGTTGCCAAGAGGAGCTCTGCCATCAAGAAGCGCAAAGCACCTTGGGGACGAGGGTTTATGGTTCATATACCTCAACAGGGATTGTAGTAGTACAGGGTACATATACACCCCAATTTTTGGGGCTCACGGTGGTCCCCAAGGCAAAGCAGGCAGCCGCCGGGTCGATTTCCAGAGGTAAGAGGCGCCGGCCATCACGCAGCCGGGAGACTGAGGCTTCGGGGCCCAAGCGGCGGAGGAAGGAAGCTTTCCAGAGGCCTGTCGTCCCTTTCGGCCCGTTTGGTGAAGGCCTCACCACGATCATCCTGAGCTTCTGGGACCCGGAGAGTGGGGCCCTTTCTTTCCTTTTTTTTTTGGGGGTTGGGGTTCCCTGTATAATCCCCAACTTAGCAAAAAGGGGCACCCTAGTTTATTCCTAGGTTACTCCTGGGTCTTACCCCTGTTTATTCCTAGGTTACTCCTGGGTCTTACCCCTGTTTATTCCTAGGTTACTCCTGGGTCTTACCCCTGTTTATTTCCAGGGTTACTCCTGGGTCTTACCCCTGTTTATTCCTAGGTTTACTCCTGCAAGTCGAGGCTTTGTGGATGTATCAAGCAAGCTCCGGGCAGCGGCGGCCTCGCGGGCTCTGCACCAGGCGCTGACGACCCCGGTGGCCTGGAATCCTCTGGTGCTGGAAACTTGGGGGGGGATTCTTGGGAGTAGTTTTTCTTTTTTGCAGAATTTTTTGGGCTACTGTGATTCCGAAGAAGCAGCTAGAAGTATGATTTTTGCCAGAGGTCCAAGTTCGGTATAGGAAAGTAGAAACTACAATCAGGAGCCCAAAAAGTTAAACACCCTAAACCCTAAACCCTAAACCCTAAACCCTAAACCCTAAACCCTAAACCCTAAACCCTAAACCCTAAACCCTAAACCCTAAACCCTAAACCCTAAACCCTAAACCCTAAACCCTAAACCCTTTAAACCCTAAACCCTTTAAACCCTAAACCCTAAACCCTAAACCCTTTTCGGGAGGGGTTCAGAAGTCAGCCAAGGAAAGGGACCATGTGACGCGGCTCTTGCCTCTCCTGCTTGAACCTTGGCAGCCCAGAGGTGCCCGTTTGCCCTCTTTTTTTTGGTTCCAGGTAGGGTTTAGGGTTTAGGGTTTAGGGTTTAGGGTTTAGGGTTTAGGGTTTAGGGTTTAGGGTTTAGGGTTTAGGGTTTAGGGTTTAGGGTCTAGGGTTTAGGGTCTAGGGTCTAGGGTGTAGGGTTTAGGGAGAGAGCAACCAACCCCCAAAAAACCGCAATTGCCCTTGTCACCCTCGTCAGAGTATTGCTACAGGGTGAGCAAGGTACACCCTAAACCCTAAACCCCAAACCCATAAACCCTAAACCCCTGAAGCCCTAGAGTATGGCTACTGGGTGAGAAAGGTACATATTGAGTGCCAAACCCTAAACCCTAAACCCTAAACCGTAAACCCTAAACCCTAAAACAAAAGGTACATATTGAGTGCCACAACCGGCCGAGCCGGAACCCGACACTGCAGCAGCTCTGGGATGCCAGTTTGCCCGCGGCCTGGGAGGAGGTCCCCAAACCCTAAACCCTAAACCCTAAACCCTAAACCCTAAACCCCTAAACCCTAAACCCTAAACCCCAAACCCCAAACCCCAAACCCCAAACCCTAAACCCTAAACCCTAAACCCTAAAGGTGAGCCGCGTGGAGATGTGGCTGCCCGATCCCGACATGAATCTTGGCAATTCATCTAGGGGTCGGAATAATTACTAAGAGTAGTCCCTCATGGTCCCTTTATACTAAAATAACTCCCCCAAAGCCTATTCTACTTATTCAGGCCCCTTTGTTAACCCAGTCGTACCGTTTACCCTTCATTTTTGTCTTCAAGGGCTCCCTTCTGAAGCAGGCAACGGAAAAAAATGGGCTGTTGGCAAAAGGTTGGGACATTCCCCCTTTTTCCTGACAGTCCTTAATAGAGGGTTTATTTAGGGTTTAGGGTTTAGGGTTTAGGGTTTAGGGTTTAGGGTTTAGGGTTTAGGGTTTAGGGATATAGTTCCCCCCCCTTTAAATTTCAATCCCTATTCAGGACTGTTAGTACAAGGGGGGAACATCCCGAGCAATGGGCTTCCTCGACTACTAAGGAATCCTCTGGAGCAGCAGAGCGACACCAGCGACTTACTGCTGGTTAGGAGGAAATGAGGGCATGAGGTACTCTATATGTTCCCTGAAAGCCTTAAAGGTTATACTTAAAGGGTATATACAGTAGGATATAGGGTACCTCATTCCCCCTAGACCCTAAACCCCTAAACCCCTAAACCCCTAAACCCCTAAACCCCTAAACCCCTAAACCCCTAAACCCCTAAACCCCTAAACCCCTAAACCCCTAAACCCCTAAACCCCTAAACCCCTAAACCCCTGAACCCCTACACTTAAACCCCTAAACACTTAAACCCCTAAACCCCTAAACCCCTAAACCCCTAAACCCCTAACCCCTAAACCCAAACCCTAGACCCCTAAACCCTAAACCCTAAACCCTAAAACCTAAACCCTAAACCCTAAACCCTAAACCCTAAACCCTAAACCCTAAACCCTAAACCCTAAACCCTAAACCCTAAACCCTAAACCCTCCCTACGAACCGACAGTAAGGCGAAGACGAGGATGCCGAGCCACTTCCTCGGCTCGGGTATGCCTTCACGAATCCCATGGGGCTGCTGCACTATGGCTGGGGCCTTACCAGTCATGGGCCATGAGGCCTAGAGGGTTTGGGGTTTAGGGTTTAGGATTTAGGGGTCTAGGGTTTAGGGTTTAGGATTTAGGATGTAGGGTTGAGGGTTAGGGTTTAGGGTTTAGGGTTTAGGGTTTTAGGGCTTCGGGTTCGGGTTGAGGGTTTAGGGTTTCATGTAGGTGGCCCAGTGGTACCTTTTACCTTTGTGCGAGTGTTCTAGTTTCCCTTGCAAATGAACAACCCAAAAAAAGGTGCCCTTATTATTCTCATGTTAGTACACGGTTGGGCCGGTTTAGGGCTTTGGAAACCCTAATCCCTAAACCCTCAACCCTTAACCCTTAACCCTAAACCCAAAACCCATTCTCTCCGTTTCTCTCAGGTTGGCATCCACGGGATTGCCGCCGGCTTTTGAAGGGCTTTGGACAGGTGCAAGAGCTCGTCGTGCACAACATCAACTCTTTCTGGGTTACGCACAGCTTCCCGAACTTCCGCTGCAGGAACTTGGGATGGTTCGCCCTTATACTAACAGTCCTCAATAGGGAACATAGTACTGCCGATTACAACCCCTGTCAAGGACAGCTAGTATAAAAGGGAACATCCCAAGCAGGAACCTTTCAACATTCGGATACGTGTCCGTCAAGTCTGTGCACAACACGTACGAGCTCCACGCCTTTGCCAACTGCGAGCCTCCGATTGTCGACTGTTCGGTGGTCGCTGGCATCAATGTGATGCGGGCGAGAGCCATTTCGGAGGATCCAGAACCTTGCTGACCAGATGAACCCTAAAATTGGGGGGGGTATACACTCTACTGCCATATTCCAATGAAGGTATATGACCCTAAACCCTAAACCATAAACCCTAAACCCTAAACCCCAGGGTTCATATTTGGTCCACAAGGAAGACGGCAAAACGACACTGCACCGACATGAAGCGCTTTTCCTGTTGGAGAGTGCCACGGCGTGCAAGGTGGGGGTGTACGAAAATAAGGGACCCCGAATAGGGTTTAGGGTTTAGGGTTTTAGGGTTTAGGGTTTAGGGTTTAGGGTTTAGGGTTTAGGGTTTAGGTTTTAGGGTTTAGGGTTTAGGGTTTAGGGTTTAGGGTTTGTAGTAGGATTCCCTTATAATAAGGACCCCGATAAGGTACCCCGAATTTCGGAAGTCCCCAGGTCGAGAAGGACATTCACTTTTCAAACGAGCCCTACGTGCAGATCACCGCGCACAAGATCCGCAAGGAGTACAAACCGCTGCTGAAGGTCCTGATGGAACGCTTCCCACAGTCCTTCGTCGGACCCGAATCGGTACCGTAAACCTCGCAGACCCTCTGGTGGACGAGGATTTCGTCGTGTGCTGTCTGCCTTGCGGATGCAGACCACTTCGCCCATGTGTCACTGTCAGTTGCTAGTTCGCATTGACCCTCACGGCGTGTGAGACAAAAAGCGCACCAGGCTGATTCAATCGTTATGTTCTGCGTATCAGTATGTCTTCAAACAACCCCAAACCCTTAACCGTTAACCCTAAACCCTAAACCCTAAACCCTAAACCCTAAACCCTAAACCCTAAACCCTAAACCCTAAACCCTAAACCCTAAACCCTAAACCCTAAACCCTGGCGGGTATGCCCTTTCGGCACTGTTTTTATGTCGAGACGGCCCGGTCCATCGCTCTACCTCCTCAAACCACTACGAACTCAACCTGGCCTTCTGGAGTCCAAAGCCAAAACCAAGATTTAGGGTTTAGGGTTTAGGGTTTAGGGTTTAGGGTTTAGGGTTTTAGAGTTGGGATGCTCCCCCTTATACTAACAATCCTTGCTAGGGATGATCGTACCCCTTTCAGAATCCCTATTTCAGGACTGTTGGTATAAGGGGGAGCATCCCCAAGTTTACGGTGTTAGGGTCCCCGAACCCCAAAACCCTGATTACTTTGTCATCGTGGGGCACTAAACCCTAAACCCTAAACCCTAAACCCTAAACCCTAAAAACTAAACCCTAAACCCTAAATCCCAAATCCCAACCATGAACTAGTCTGAACCCTGACATGATTTGGGCTTCGGTGCCACTGTTGCGTGGCCCGTCGGAGTAGGGACTCTGGAAACCGCTCTCCCAGAGGTTGCTTCCCGAAAGCCCTCAATTGAAACCCTTAATTAAACCCTAAACCCCAAAACCTAAACCCCAAAACCCAAACCCTAAACCCCAAACCCTAAACCCTAAGCCCTAAACCCTAAACCCCAAACCCTAAACCCTAAACCCTAAACCCTAAGGAGCCCTAAGCTTAGGGTTTAGGGTTCCCGGAAACCCCAGAAAAGTGCACCCGCCTGGAGCCAGCAGGTGCTGGACGGGGAGCCTTCCAGCAGCTTCCTGCGTGCAGTTGAGGGTTTAGGGTTTAGGGTTTAGGGCTTAGGGTTTAGGGTTTAGGCCGGGGTTGAGGGTTGAGGGTTGAGGGTTGAGGGTCGGGTTTTACTACTGCTTGCTTATGAACCCCCCCCACAAAAAAAAGAAAATAAAAAAAAACGTAGTCCCTATTTTGATGCTTACAAGGAAGATTTTGTCAGTTTCATCTTCAGCAAATAGTAGTTTAGGGTGTCTGTAGGGCCGACAGGGATTGAGGGTTTGGAATTTTGGGGATTTCGGGGGGTTTGTTGCGGGTTTTTGATATTTTAGATAGGGTGGGGGGGGGGGGGGGGGGGCTTTTTCTTGTGCAGATATGCTGCTGCAAGTTGGCACTCCAGATTTCGGCAGCTTAAGAGGGCGATGATGGAGTTTGGGGTCTCGGGGTTCAAGGGTTGAGGGATTGGGGCCCCTTAACCTTAGGGTTTAGGGTTTAGGGTTTAGGGGTTTAGGGTTTAGGGGTTTGGGGTTTAGGGTTTAGGGTTTAGGGTTTAGGGTTTAGCTCCTTGCTTTCAGGGTTTTGATGGTTTGCTCAGGGTTGCAGGTTTTTGGGTTCAGGGCTTTTGGGCTAGGGCTGAGGGTTTAAGGTTTTATTGGGTTCGACACGGAACCCTATTTTGGTGTCCGCTTAGCAGCAGCAATCTTGCATTGATCTGCCCGGCATCCCCTTCCGCGGCAAACATGGATGTACTGGCAGCACGGACGTTATCATCGATGCACTGGTAGCACGGACGTGGTCATCGTTCGGGTATGGTGCTCTGACCACTGGGTGCAAGTTTCGCAAGCGTCTATCATATAAACGCCCTAAACCCTAAACCCTAAACCCTAAACCCTAAACATGTTTAAGCACGGCTCCTGCCTTCGTGTGCCCATTGCGACACAAGGTTGCACCCCAAGGCCCAGGGCCACTAAGAGCTGTAAGTTGAAAAAGGTTGAACTCAGAGAAGCTACAGACTTCGCATGTTCAACTTTCAGATAACAACCTGCACAGTGAAGGCCTGTTTCGGGTTTTTTAGGGTTTAGGGTTTAGGGTTTAGGGTTTAGGGTTTAGGGTTCTAAACCCCAAACCATGAAAAAAAGGAGCCAGAAGGCAACGAGCATCAAGTAGACCTCAACGTGCGGGCAAGCGAGCCCGATGGACCCTTCAGGCTACATCTGCTCGCGCTGGTGGCGCGCGCCCGAGCTGATTTTCGGCGCCTCGCGCTACGGGACGAGCGTGGCGCCTCGGAGACGACTGGGAGATTTGGGTCTTCTTGGGCTCCTGGTGTCGGTTCTTTTGGGCTTAGGGTTTAGGGTTTAGGGTTTAGGGTTAGGGTTTAGGGTTTAGGGCTTCCGAAGCCTGAGCTCGGGTTTCGGGTTGAGGGATTAGGGGTATAGGGTTTAGGGTTTAGGTTTTAGTGTTTAGGGTTACGTGTGCCCCAGGACTGGTGGTCCTGTGGCTGCATCACCGCAGAGATGATGCTGGGGCGCCCGCTCTTCACTGGCGAGTCGAGCTGGGGGCAGATGTACGCCGCTCCGCCTTCCTAAACCCTAAATTATCAACCCTAAACCCTAAACCCTAAACCCTAAACCCTAAACCTTGTAATTCTCCGAGGGTGCTATAGCGTTGTTTAGGGTTTAGTAGGGGTTATTTTGCCAGCTATGCCTGATAGGAGTTTAAAGGGCCCTTGGGTATCATAGTCTTGTTTGGGGTTAGTAGGGTTTGACAAGCCAACTACGCTTGATTGGAGTTTAGGGTTTAGGGTTAGGGTTTAGGGTTTAGGGTTAGTTTATGGTGCCCTTCGTTGGCTCGACTTTTTCTTGAAAATGGAACATATGTTGGACCCACTCCGACAGGCGAGCAATCGTCAGCAGCAGCCACCCTAACCTTAAACCCTAAACCCTAAACCCTAAACCCTAAACCCTTCCGCCCCAGGAAATCGTCCGTGCTTTGGGCACCCCGACTCTGGAGGAGGTGACTGCAATGCAGGCAGGTAGTTCCGAGGAATGGGCTAACTATAGGGGCCTAGATAAATTAGAGTAGGGTTTTTGGGGGTTATTACAGTATAATTACAAAGGGACCCTAAAGGGAATATTCTTAGTAATTATTCCGACCCCTACTGTAGCTAGCTGCCTTTATTTTTTCTGGTGTACTTTTCGGACATCTACAAAGATAAGGAGGTGGTTTGAATAACCCTAAACCGCAAACCCTAAACCCCATCCCTAAACCCTAAACGCCACAGAACAACCTCGATTTTGGAAACTTGGATCCTCTGCCCAGCATCAGGGTACCGCCCCACACTTCTTTGTTTGTTGCGTGTGGCTTTGGACTGCCATTTTCTTTGGGGGTTTAGGGTTTAGGGTTTAGGGTTTAGGGTTTAGGGTTTAGGGTTTAGGTTTAGGGAAAGTTTGGCTTCATCGTAGAAGCCTGGCTTCATCGCAGAAGCCCGAAGCCCCGAAATCCGAAATCCTCGTTTGGGGGCGAGGGGCAAACTAGCCCCTTATCTATATGGCCGCTTCTCCAAAATATGGACCCTTTTGGGGTTCTTTGAAATCTTATTTAGGGTACCCAAAAGTGACCATGAACTCACCATATTGGCTCCTAAGGCAATCGCCCGAAGAGCTCGTGACCGAACTTTGAGAAACTCCAAACCTTAAGTCCTTTCCCCGGAACACCGATCTTCAGTAGGAGTAGGGTTTAGGTTTAAGGGTTAGGGTTAGAAGGGTTAGGAGGGCTAGACGGGTCAGAAGGGTTAGAAGCGCTTTACGGGTTAGAAGGGTTAGAACCTTGGGGACGAAATGACCCCTAAAAGGCTTTATCGTTCATATACCTTTATAGGAATTATAGTAGTATAGGGTATAGAACCCCAATTTTAGGGCTCATTTGGTCCCCAAAAAAGGGTTTAGTGCTGGTGCCGAAGTACTCGGGAAGGGGGAACACGTGGTGCCTCCAGGCCCCCAAGAACATCTTAGGTAGGGTTTAGGGTTTAGGTTTTAGGTTTTAGGGGGGTCCCCATGCAATTCTTGGAGCTCGCTGCCGTCCTGGCAGACCTAGACCCAAGCCCGAACTGGCCCACAGCCTTTTTTTTGGGCGGCCGAAAGCCCTCGAAACCCAAAGCCTTAAAATGGACAACTCAGCCATAAAGCCCGAAAAGCTCCAAAGCTGCCCGAAAGCTCCAAAGCTCAAGTTCTGAAAGCCTGGGCTAGCAAAGCCCCTCCCCCGCAACCCCCAACCCCAAATCCAAACCCCAAAACCCCAAACCCGAAACCCCAAACTCCAAACCGCAAACCCTAGACCCTAAGCCCTAACCCCAAACCCCCAAACCCTAAACCCTAAACCCTAAACCCTAAAACCCAAAACCCCAAACCCTAAACCCTAAACCCTAAACCTAAACCCCTCCCCCGTCCTCTCCTTTTCAGGCCGGGGGGGATGGCCGTCTGGCCGGGCACTTCGCCAAGCTCGCGGAGCTGGAGCGGCCGGCGTCTGCCTGGGAGGCGCCATGGTGGGGGGTGGGGGCGGGGGGGGGCGGGGGGTTTTGGGGTTTGGGGTTTAGGGTTTAGGGTTTAGGGTTTAGGGGAGGCTTAGGGGCGTTTCGGACTGACAGCTTGGGTTACAGCCTTCAGCAGACTAGAGTTAGGGCCTCAGTCCTCGATTGTTGTGGGGGGGAGGGGGGGCGAGGGTACAGTCGTCCTCTGTTTTTGGCTCTAGCCGGCCGCCATTGCTTTAAGGCTTTACGGGCTTTAGGGGAACCCTAAACCCTAAACCCTACACCCTAAACTTGGAGTGGGAGAAAGTCGTGGGCGCGACTACTCGATCCCAGGCATGCCCGAAACGAGGTGGATCCCTCTAGTAAGCTCGAAACCTTGCAATGTTCCCCCTTATACTAACAGTCCTAACAGTCCTTAATAGGGGAACATCCAAGGCTCTGAACCCTAAGCGGCTTAGGACTTAGGGTTTAGGGTAGCACCCTACGACCCTTCGTCGGAATCAAGTGCAGATCGTCCAGCGCGGGGCACCATGAAAAGGACTAGCCTCCCCCATGAAGCTAGGAGGCCCCAACCCTGGATATTCTGAATCCGAAGCCCTCAACCCTAAACCCAAAACTCGAAACCCTAAACCCTAAACCAACCCCCATTGTGTCCAGAAACCGCTAAATCATACAAAGCCAAAGCAAAAACTCAAGGGCTTACAACAGCCCCAAACCGATCCTGACTCTTACAAGGTATCCAGAAACCCTACGAAAACCCTGTGTAGGTGAAGAGAAGGTTCCCTCAACCCTAAAACCCTTTGCTAACTCTAAGCCCTAGAGCCCTAAAACATCCGAAAACCCTCTAAGACCCTCTAAATCTCTATGCCTTGTAAGCCGAGAGCCCCTACAACCCTCAGCCCTCTAACCCAAAAACCGCCAAACAGCACCTAAAACCCTAGAACCCTGTAACTCTAAGCCCTATAAACACTAAAATCCCTGATACCCTAAAGCCCTAGAACCCTATCACTCTAAGCCCTTTAACCCTAAAACATCCTTAAACCCACTAAAATCACTCATACCCCAACGCCCTAGAACCCTATAACTCTAAGCCCTATAACCCTAAGACATCCTTAAACCCACTAAAATCACTCATACCCCAACGCCCTAGAACCATATAACTCTAAGCCCTATATAACCCTAAGACATCCTTAAACCCTCTAAACTCCTTCATACCCTAACGCCCTAGAACCCTGAGCCCTCCGTGCCTCGTAAGCCGCGAGCGAGGAGCTGCTCCCTGCCTTCGCACAGGAACGCCAGGCCACAACGAGAGTTTGGGGATTTAGGGGTTTAGGGTTTGTTTATAGGGTTTAGGGTTTTGGGGTTTAGGCTTTAGGGGTTCAGGGTTTCAGGGTTTAGGGTTTGCTTATAGGGTTTAGGGGTTTTGGGTTTAGGCTTTAGGGGTTCAGGGTTTCAGGGTTTAGGGTTTGCTTATAGGGTTTAGGGTTTTAGGGTTTAGGGTTACGTATAGGGTTTGGGGGTTCAGGGTTTCAGGGTTCAGGGTTTAGGGTTTAGGGTTCGGAATTGGGGGTTTGGGGCTTGTTGGGGTTGAGGTTTTGGGCATTCAGGTTTCGGGGTTGCGGGCTCAGGATACCGAGGATGTAGCAAGCAACCGGAGTTGTGGCTTGAAGCTTCGGGTTTCGGGTTTACGGTTTGGCGTTTAGGGGGATTAGGGTTTAGGGTTTTGGGGTTTGGGGTTTAGGGTTTAGGGTTTAGGATTTAGGATTTCGGGTTTGGGGTTTTGGGTTTAGGGAATCATGGGCCAAAAGTTACTGGGCTCGACACGTTGCATTCCTCAGGGGTTTGCAGCCAAAACCTTGGGAAAACGAAGCAAGGTTGGCCCTTGGGATACTTGATATTTTCCCTTCTTGGGTTCAAGGGGATCATAGTCAGGAATCTTTTTCAGAGGGTGTTAGGGGCCATCGTAGGAAGTTCCTTCACCCCAAATGGGCAAAAGTTGCCGTAGATGCCCAAGCCTTAAACCCCAAAAACCCAAAGCGCTTCCAGCCCCAAAACCCTAGACTCTAAGCCCGACCCTAAAGTCTGAAAATCCTAAACCCTAAACCCTAAACCCTAAACCCTCAACCCTCAACCCTCAACCCTCAACCCTCAACCCTAAACCCTAAACCCTAAACCCTAAACCCTAACCCTAAACCCTACTCCCCGCCCTTGAAGGCCCTTGAGCTACCAGCCTCGCTTCTGAATTTCGACCCCGCCGGCCGGCTGCACCCGGCCATTGCCATGAGGCCGGAAAAGACGGGGTTTGGGGTTTGGGGTTTGGGGTTTAGGGTTTAGGGTTTAGGGTTAGGGCACTCAGGGTTTGAGGAGTTTAGAGTGGCGGCTCTGGGTTCGGGAGGGCGTTACGGGTTTATGGTTCAGGGGTTTAGGGTTTCGGCATTTAATGGATGGGGCTTTTCAGGGTCTAGAGTTTTGGGTTGGGGGTTTAGGGTTTGGGGTGTTTGCCTCGGCTGCTTGAGCCAGGTTGCTAGTTTTGGAAAGGCGGGCTTGTCCATTTAACCCAGCCTCAACCCTAAGTTCGGACCCCAGCCCTATCCAACATGTCCCAAGCACCAGAACCCTTAAAAATCAGCATCCCAACTCCCCCTTCCCCCCCCAAAATCAGCATCCCAACCCCCCCCCCCCCCCCCCCCCCCCCCCCCCGTCCGAAACCCTAAACCCTAAACATCCCTAAACCCTAACCCCTAAACCCCAAACCCTCAGATTTTTCCGCCTTGGCTGCTTTTTGAGGTCTTTTTGGGCCAGGGGGCTGCCAATGGCTCTTCTGACCTGGTTTAGGGCTTACCCTAAGGGTCCATGGTTTAGGGTTTCGGGTTTCGGGTGTAGGGTTTCGGGTGTAGGGTTTACGGTTTCGGGTTTAGGGTTTCATGTACCTAAATCGGGAAATCCTTGTGTCTTAAGCACTTCATACACAAGGATTGTGGGGTCCAAGAATATATTGAGGTACATGGGCCCTTGGGGTGAGGATTTCGGGAGTTGGTGCTTGATGCTTAGTGTTTTTCGGGCTTTCGGATGTAGGGTTTAGGGTTTAGGGTTTGGGGTTTAGGGTGTAGGGTTTAGGGTTTAGGAGTAAAGTCCTCCGGGCTTAGAATTCAGGGATAAGTGCGTGGGCTTAGTGCGTAGGGCTTCGGGTTCAGAGCTGGGGGTTTAGTGAGTAGTCGTGTTTTGGATATTTTTGGATGGCCTTAGGAGCTGGGCTCAGTGCTTAGGCTCTAATAAACCCTAAACCCTAAACCCTAAAATTAAGGTTTTTTGTTGCTTTTCACGGTGTTGATTTGAGGGGGTTGGGGGCTTAGTCTTTCGGAAACGTGTCTTTTGGAACTGTAAGCCCTTAGCCCTAAACCGGCCCCATGTCCTCAAGTGGGGCCGCGGTTAGATTAAGGCATTGGGGCGTGACTTAAACCCTTAAACCTAAACCCTAAACCCTAAACCCAGAAGCAGCGATATTTTGGATATGTTTGGGTATAAGACGCCTCTGGGAGACATCAGCCAACAGAGCTGATCCCTACTACCCCATTGAAGGACCCTGTAAGTCCTCACACTGAACCGACCTAAACCCGAAACCCTAGACCCTAGACCCTAGACCCTAGACCCTAAAACCCTAAAACCCTAAACGTAACACCCGAAATCCCTAAACCTCTAAACCTAGACCCCTTAACCCTAGATCCCCAACTTTGTAGGAGCAGCTTCTTCCAGCACCTTCCGGACGATCCGAACCCGTTGCCACCAAAGCTCGTCGACTTCAGTACCTTGTCGGGCTAAAGTTTGGGGTTTAGGGTTTAGGGTTTAGGGTGTCGGGTTTAGGGTTTTTGGTTGCAGGAATTGAAGTAAAGGAACAAAGCTAGCTTATGGGGCTTTCTAGGGCCCATCGGGTTCGTAGGGCTTTTTTTTTGTAGGATATCAGGGTTGAAATGGCTTACAGGGTCTGCGTCCGGAACCTACACCCCTGAGTTTAGGGTTTAGGGTTTAGGATTTAGGGTTTAGGGTTTAGGGTTTAGGGTTTAGGGTTTAGGGCCCAAAAAATCATGGGGGTCAGGGATGTTTGTGGTTTAGTGGGGAGCCAGGAACACGAAAGACGATTTAGGGTCGAAGGGTTGAGGGTTGGGAGTTTAGGGTTTAGGGGTATTGGATTCAGGGTATCGCCTGTATGGCTGCATGATCATAGATGCTGGTGTGAGGATCGAGTCTCCAGAAGATAGCAGGCTGCATTGAGCGCTTTGGCGCCCCTTCTTGGGGTCCTCTGCAAAGAGGTGAAGTAGTTTCCATCCAGGGGACCCTAAACCCTAAACCCTAAACCCTAAACCCTAAACCCTAAACCCTAAACCCTAAACCCTAAACCCTAAGCCCACCAAACGTTGTCAACCCCAAGCCTATCCGCTTTACTAAAGGCATCGGTAGTGCGACCCCCAATGCTGAGGTGATCAAGAGTTGAGCACCTGTGACACGACGGCCAAGCAGAAGCTCTGGGCTTTGCGGCATATGGTCCAGGCACCGGGTTTAGGGTTTAGGGTTTAGGGTTTAGGGTTTAGGGTTTAGGGTGTTTGGAGTGTATGGGGTTTAAAGGGTTTATAGGGTGTGCAGGGAGGGTTTAAAGGGTTTCAGTGTTCATTTGCACCCGCTCCCCGTTCTCGCTTCCACCCCTCGCCGGTACCCCCAAAGCCCTGACAACTCAGCACGAACCACCCCTAAACCCTTTAAACCCTCCCCTAAACTTACCAAGAACCAGAGCCGTAGCGGGGAGAGGGGAAGGCCTAAGCCGACAAGCCTAAAGCCTGAGCCCTAAGGCCACCATGAGCCAGGCGGGGCAGAGTGAAAGCTGCAAAGCCCTACAGCCTAACCCTAAACCCTAAACCCTGAACCCTGAACCCTGAACCCTGAACCCTAAACCCTAAAGCCACCATGAAGCATAGACCTGAACCACAGGGACGGATGGGGAGGGAAGCCTAAACCCAAGACAACCCACCACGAACCACAAGAGGGGGGACAGGGAGCGTGAATGCTGGCGCATCTTCGGTTTGCAGGCTTCATCTACGGCCTATAGGGCACATAGGAAGAGGGGTTAGGGTTTGGGGTTTAGGGTTCGGGCTTAGGGTTCAGGGGTTTAGGGTTTGGGGTTTAGGGTTTAGGGTTTAGGGTTTAGGGTTTAGGGTGTAGGGTGTAGGGTGTAGGGTGTTCGGGCTTAGGGTTCAGGGGTTATAGGGCTTTGCTACTTGGCTGTTGCGAGAGCCCGAAGTCCATCCTAGAACCTCTGCATGAGTGCCTTCAAAGCGTTAACCCTATGTGCATTTAGCCCTAGACTTAGTTTGCTAGACCCTAAACTCTAAACCCTAAACCCTAAACCCTAAACCCTAGACCCTAGACCCTAAACCCTAAACCCTAAACCCCTTCCCAAAATTCCCCTGACCCCCATAGCCTCTCTGATGCGCTTTTGCCCTGGCAGGCCCGGGGTCCTTTCTTCAACGGCGAAAGCTTCGGAAAGAGGGCCGGGGACGAGGAGGAGGAGGAGGAGGACTCGGAGGGTTTAGGGTTTAGGGTTTAAGGTTTAGGGGTGTAGGGTTTCGGGGCTTGGGGGTTTAGGGGTTCAGGAGTTCAGGGGTTTAGGGTTTAGGGGTTTAGGGGTGTAGGGGTGCTGGAGGTCTGGAGGGTGGAAAAGCAGCAGATCTTAGATAAGACATTGCCTGGACTGTGTCAACTACTGCCGCCCGAAAGCCGAGCATCATGATCGTCAGCCGGGCTGCTTCAGAAAATCAGGCAGCCGAGCAGCCACCACGCCGAGCATCATGAGCATCAGCCGGCAGCTGCGAGAAATGACGCCGCCACAAGGCTGAGCATCGCGAGCATCAAGCAGTGTCAGCCTCAAGCTGATGCTCTGGGTCGTGTCAACCAATGTCGCATGCGCATCGTGAGAATCGTGGGCCTCATGTGCATGTCCCCTCTGCCTGGAGATCATGTGCAGCCAGGCCCGGAAAAGGAGGCAACCACTAGAAGCACGAGCATCAGCCGGTAGCCGTGTCAACCCGTTATCCTTAGCATTCTTCAAGCCACTTGGTGGGCGTTCAACTCACAGAACAAGGCCTTCTTCTTTAGCTTATTGTTATCAACCTCTTCTGAAGGCACTTAGGCAACCTACAGCTTTCTACAATGTTTTTTTTTTTCAGTCCTCGAGGTAAAGCCTACTTGGAGGTTTATGGGTGCTTGTAACTGGGGTTAGAAGTTCCCTAAGTAGGGTTATAAGTATAGCTACCATACTTCTAACCTACTTCTAGTTACACATGAACCTCCAAGTAGACCCTACTGTACACCCTCGGTGTTGGTAGGAGCTACCCAATGCCAAGCGGCGGCGAGTGGGCGGGAGGCCGGTGGGTAGGCATTGAGGGGGTTGCGGCCTGGTCTTAGTTGAAGTGAAAATGGCTTGTGGTAAAACCCTAAACCCTAAACCGTAAACCCTAAACCCTAAACCCTAAACCCTAAACCCTAAACCCGAAACCCTAAACACCCAGAGCCCGAGCTTGCTCCAGGACGCTGCACAAACCCCAGAGCCCTGAAGGCAATAGTCCAGCAACCTGAGCAATTCTAACCCGAGGAGTGCATGAGGTATGAGGTGTTTGCAACAACGGCTGTAAAGTTGAAGGTGTTGAGGAATGTTCTAAATGGGGATTTCCGAAGTTAGGGTACCTTATTGGGGTCCTGATTATGAGGGAATCCTCTTATTTGCCGATCTATATTGGTTGTCTCCAATTTTCGGAAACCCCCAAAATCGTAACCAAGGCCAGGACAGCGAGATCCACCTTATTACACATCTGATCTGGGGCTCAGGGGTTGTTTTTCAAGTTATTCGCGCTCCGGGACAAACTTCACTCTTGGGACTTTAACGGGCCTCTGAAGCAACTACAATAAGGAGCCTAGAAGTTAACTTTTTGGATGGGTTCAGAAGTCATCCAAGAAACCCTAACCCTTCAACTAAACCCTAAACCCTAAACCCTAAACCCTAAACATTCAGGCCCTTGCCTCTGGACGATCTCAGCGACATCCCATGACGCCGTGGCCGTCTTGCGGTGGAGCGGTGCCCTGGGGGCATTCGTGGCCCAGCCGTACCCTGATGGCATTCTTTAGGGTTTAGGATTTAGGGTTTAGGGTTTAGGGTTCAGGGTTCAGGGCTTAGGGTTTAGGGTTTAGGGTTGGTAGAGTTTAGGGTGAGCCTGAACCCTACAGTGGTACTCCTTCCTGAGGGTTTGGGACCCCCCTTTCGAGCCAAGAGGCTTGCAGCCGCTTCTTGCTTCGAGCTGTCAAAAGTGTCCTCAACCCTCAACCCTCAACCCTCAACCCTCAACCCTCAACCCTAAACCCTAAACCCTAAACCCTAAACCCTAAACCTAAGCCCTCAACGGTTTAGGGTGTATGTCGGGGCTCCTCGAGGGTCGAGGTTCAGTGCACAAGGCGCCCTCAGGGCTCGGCCTGAAGAGCCCTGAAGACCTAAGATATTCTTGGTAGCCCAGTGGTACCCTTTCCTCGTTTTTGTTTGTTTGCTTCTTGTTTTTTGTTCTTTTCTTGCTACTTATTGTTGTTTTTGAAGTAGTTTGTGTCTTTCGTTGATTTTGGGGTGTTCCCTTGCAACGTAACTAACTCCAAAAGGGTGCCCTCATTGTAGCATGGTTACTGGGCTACCAATGTATTCGTTTCTTTGTGACTTCTTCGAAATGCGCAAAACAGAAGGGCTTGGGGTTCTTAAGCCGGACTTTAGGGTTCAGGGGTTAGGGCTCAGGGTTCAGGGTTTAGGGTTTAGGGTTCAGGGTTTAGGGTTCAGGGTTTAGGGTTTGGGGTTCCAAACTCTGTTGAATCTAGCCAAGGTGACGCCGGGGAGGTGGCTGAGGCACACCATAGTGAGGCTTTTCGAGCCCGCGCCCAGTCGCAGTCTGCAGCAGGTTAGTTGGAGGATGAAGGCTACAACTTAAATTTTGGTCCTGAGCAGGGAAATGTAGGGACGTGGGGTACCGGTGCCTTGTATACTTCTTTCATCTCGCAGGGTAGTTTTTTTTGGGATGCAACCTCTCCACCTCCACAGGTTGCACAGGGCGGTGAAGGGTTAGCCAAGAACTTCCTTCACGTACGAACCCTATGGCTACTTCATTTCAAGGCCGCCATTGGTCCTAGGTCCTAGACCCCACTCGCGGATATCTGGATGCCATAGTTTATAAGCATGCACATCAAACAAAACCTTGGCAGCCCAGTGGTACCCTTTTCCCTGTTTTTTTTGGTTCAAGGTTCCCTGATAAATTAAACAACCAAAAAAGGGTGCCCTTATCATAATATGGTTACTGGGGTACCAAGAAACGCACAGTGGCAGACGTAGCTCGCTGCCCCCCCCCCCCCCCCCCAGGACTACTAATTGCTTAAGGACCCCCCAAAACGAGGGGATATATTCTTCCTTATTAAGGGCAATATAGAGATTCATTTTATTTTTCTTTTGGAGTTCTTACGCAAATAGTAGAGTAGTGGACTCCAAGGGCAACCCTCGACCCTGAATCTCAAAACTGCATGCCACTAGTAGAAAGCTTTATAAACCCTGAACCCTAAACCCTAAACCCCAAACCTTAAACCTTAAACCCTAAACCCTAAACCCTAAACCCTAGACCCTACACTCTGACCACCTAGTTCAGGCCAAATTCTTGCCAGACTCGGGTCTCGTCCTGCTTGCGTTTGCGACTGGCGCGCCAGTTTCCAGAAATGCTAGGTACAGTGTGCCCTAGTGGCAGAGGGACGGGTTGCATTTCGTGGGCGAATGGGCATTGTTCAGAACTGGGAGTCCCATTCTAGGCAACATGGACCGCATCGGCAGAACCACGTACCATCCGAAGAATCCGAGAGGGACCCATTTTTGAACAAGCGCCGAAGATTGTTCTGTCGGCTGCCACCTGCCTTGCTCTCTTCTAGGTACCCGGCAAAAAGTCTGCCTAGAACTTCCCTAAACGCTTTACCCTAAACCCTTGAACCCTAAACCCGAAGCGTCAGGAGCACAGACAAACCCGTCACCCCAGCTTGACATCGCACCCGGGTGTAGGGTTAAGGTTCTAGGGTTGAGGTTGAGGGTTTAGGGCACATAACGCCCCTGGATGCGTATGCAGGATCGCCCTTTAGGCCCGGAGCCCTGAACTGAACAGTCAATGTCTTCCAACCTGACTTTGGGCCCTGCCCAAACTCTTCCCCAAGCTCGCATCCCACACTTTCCCCTACATGGCCAGTTCTCTCTAAGTCATGGTCCAGCTTGCGTGCCTTCAACAGTAGCGCTCCGCGTTAGACTGGGTACACACAAGGGAACCCGTATTTCAAAACCCTCCCACATCCCGAAACCCCAAAGCCCAAACTCTAAAACCCCCAACCCTAAACCCTAAACCCTAAAACCCTAAACCCTAAACCCTAAACCCCAAACCCTAAACCCCAAACCCTAAACCCTAAACCCCCAACCCGACTGGTGGTTTGCCACTGAGGGCTTGATGCGCTGGCCTCTTCAGGGAGGGGGTTCGCGCGACGTTTGTGTGAGGGTTTAGGGTTTTGGGGTTTTGGGCTTTAGGGTTTCAGTTTTAGTGTGCAGGGTTGAGGGTGGAGGGTTTAGGGTTTAGGGAAGATGTTAGAGCTTGGGGTTTGGGGTTTGGGGATGTGGGAGGGTTTCTACTTCCGGTTCCCTTGTGAGTACCTCAGCCCGAGTTTAGGGATTGGGTTTTCGGCTTCGGGTGCTGGAGCACTGAGAGATTTGTGCCTTGGCGCGGCGCGAACCCCCCTCCTCCGCCACGCGGCAAGAGCCCCAAATCCCCGCCAAAGAAGGCTGTAAAGATTCGAGAGCTTCCGAGAGAAATGGGAGAACTTCAGAAACATCACCTCAAGGGTTCCCTTCACCCGAAACCCTGAACCCTAAACCCTATCCCCTCTACTCCATGTCCCCAATTTCTGCGGAAGCCTGCACTTAGGAGTCCGGTCGGGGCGGAAATAAAAGGCTTCGAGCCAGTTGTTATTTCAGGGCGTCTTAGTGGGTAACCTTTAACCTTGAGGGGTATATTGGGATGCTCCCCCTTATACTAACAGTCCCTAAATAGGGATTATAGTACCCCTGTTACAATCCCTTATTTGACCGAAGGCTTGCATAAGGTACCCCAAGGACCTCCCTTCCCGAATAAAGGCTACTCTCGGGTTACGGGTGCAGAGATGGTCTTAAACCAGGGCTTGCTACGTCCATTTTCGGTTTAGGGTTTAGGGTTTAGGGTTTAGGGTTTAGGGGTTGGGGCTTCGGGCTTGGGGCTTAGGGCTTATAGGGCTTAGGGTATGTAGGATGGCATTCTTCCTAGAGTGACCAGGGCTACTATCCCATCTGTGTGTGGTGCACCGGAGTCACCCGAACATGGGAGGCCCCTTTTACTGAGAATGGGTCATAAAGGGGTCGGAATAATTTCTAATAGTCTTCCCTCAGGGTCCCTACTATAATATCCCCCCCCCAAAACCCCATTCTGACTACTACGGCCCCTATAGTATGTTGGGCAAGCGGACATGGGTCTGCTGCATGGAAAGTGACAAGAGTCCATTGTTCAGTGACCCAAGTTTGCAGTTTGTCATGACGTATGCAATAGCGACTCGCCGTCACTGTAGTTTCTCAAGAATAGGAGTGTAACTGTCATGACATACTATAGGGGGGATAGTATCGGTACCTGTTCAGGCTACTACAGGATAGATGTGACCCCTGACTCTAAACCCTAAACCCCAGACCCCAAACCCTAAACCCTAACCCCTAGACCCTAAACCCCTGATCTGATGTCGAGGTTCAAGGAAGGAAGGCCTTTGTGCGTTGTGTGCGTGGCGTGCCAAGCCCTCGTCCCTCGGAATTGGGTGACTTGGCTGCCCAGTGGTACCCTTTACCCTTGTTTTGAATCAGGGTTCCCTTACTAAGTAACCAGCCCAAAAAGGGTGCCATTATTATAATACCCTAAACCCTCAACCCTCAACCCTAAATGGTTCTAGGCTACCAAGGTGCCTTCGCGCAGTATGGCTTGCTTCCCTTGCTGGAAGCACCTCATGCACTGCTTCCCAGGCACCCGCCCAGGCGCAGCCACCGCATGTGCACATACTTATAACCCAGCTATAAGTGTAGTTACAACCTACTTGTGAGCCCCTTAAGCACCCTAATGGGGTTCTAATTGGGCAATAAGTACAGTTATAATTGGGCTACTAAGTACCCTGAACCTCCAAGTAGGTCGCAGCCCAGCGCGTGCTCCACAACCTTCAGCAACGATGCCGGACAAGCAGGGTTCGAAGAGATCATGGGTCGCATTGGAGGTCCAACCAAGTTCACAAGTCCAGTCCGAGCAGTGCTTCCAGACCTTCACCCACGCACTGTCTCAGGGGCTCATGGTTGTCCTGGTGTCGGACACCTCAGTCCACGGGAGCATTCCCTTCATGAGATCTGCAGATGCACCAAGTGTTCGAGACCGGTGCTATCAGACTCTGGTGCACCAGCTGGCCCCTGGGTTTTGGTGCGTTCTCGTCGCAGACACCTCCTGCATGCAGGATGCCGCGGCCTCGCCGGACATGGTTGGCGTGCTGGCGGCCCTCAACCGCCTGTCGCAGGCATGCTGCTGCATCTTGCAGGGTGGCCTGCTTGCATGCCCAGCCAGCCCGCCGGGCTATAAGCACCAGCACGGTAATACAGCTCATGTCCCTACCAAGCAGGGCCAAGATGGCGAGGTCGGACTTGAGCAAGGCAAGCCGGGCCGCGCCCGCCCAGCACGATCTCGGAAGCGCCGGGCGAGGCGAGGGTCATGCCTAGCACAGCGAGCTCGGCAGCCACTTCCAGTCGGTGCCCAGCATGCGGAGACACGCAGACCCAGGGTGGATGAGGATGATGAGATGCTACTGGAAGACCCCGAGTTCGGCGCGTGCGGCGTGGAGCTGCTTACTGTGGACCTCATGCAGCAGGTGGGGGGTGGAGGGGGGTTGTAGACTCCCGGACTAAGCGGGGGGGGCGGTAGGGACTCAAGAACTCTGAGCCCTAAAC